CAGCCCCGCCCGCTCGTCCCCCTGCTTGCGTTTGCGCCTGCGCCCTGGGGCGGGCCAGGGTCGGGAACTTAGCCTAACTCTGCAGGGCGGCGTTGCCCGTGACTGGTCTCACGCGCCTCGTCTCTGGCACTGTTTTAGACATTCTTTTACGCTCTTCTCGTCCACAAAGCCTCACCACCGTACATCATCCCCCGCAAAGTGAAACTAACCTATAAGCCTTTGAATGGCTTGCATTTTATACTTCTAATAGGGACTTTTTTCCTTGAAGTGATCCGTGTTAACAGTGCCATGACTCTCCCCAACCCCCGCCCCTAGTTGCAGCCCTTTTAAGTCCTGGGAAAACTTGAAGAAAAGCCTAACCATTTACTTAGGCAACGCAAACAGGGGGTTTGGTGACTTAAGCCTGTCTCAAAGGTGTCTTTTTTTTGACTTTGAAAAGTTCCCAGAAAACCAAACTTTCTCCCAACACAGTGTAGTTCCATCTTCTGGCAATTACCCCATCACATTACAGGAGGCTTCAGCAGCCTCTCTGCCCCAAGGGTCCCTTCTGTTTTCCTGTGAGCTACAGTCATCTTTATGAATCCCACAGAAGCCATTCAACAATGTCTTTCCTCTGTTAGACTGTCAGCTCCCTGGGGTCAAAATCGATGTCGAATTCTTGTTTCCCAAGGCACCTGGCGCATGGTGAGCATTAATTCAAGTTGCTCTCACATATTATTATATGCTTACTCCTTGTGACAACCCTTGAAAGTAGATAGGAAACCTGCCCTTTCCAAACTCACCCCTCACTCCAGTCCTGACCATTGTAGAACCCGGAAGAGTTTGTAGCGAATAAAGCTAAAGGCCTCTGGTCCACTCGTCCGTCGCCCTCTCCCGCAATCCCCCCCACCCCCACTCCGCGGGTATTTGCGCCTGCGCCGTGGGGGCAGACCAGGGCAGCGCCGTGGGGGCAGATCCAGGCCGCGCCGCGTCACCCAGCTCTGTAAACCTTTTCTTGGCGTCGACAGTGGCTGGTGTCCTGCCTCTCCCCCCGACCCCGATGCCTGGCCGCCCTCATGGTTGTTTTAGGTCCTGCTTATCCTTCCAGGTCCATCTCTTCCACAGAGCTTCACCGGAGACGGGCCTCCCGCCATTGCCGTGATTGGCCGTCCGCCATTACTGGTGACTGGTAGGTTTTAGACCCTCACAGCCTTCCGCGGCCACCTCCCCTGCAGAGCGTCGCTACCGCGCACCACCCTTCCTTCCCGCCCCACAAAGCTGAAACTAGCCCTTCTGTCTCCAAATGGCTTACTTTATACCTTTAACTCCCTCACCCCGGTCCTGACCATTATATGGTCTGCTTTTTGTTTTCTGTGGGCAAAGGAGGGAGCCACCGCTTTTGCTGAGGGGGGGGGACGGTGGGGCGGGGAGTATGCCCTTACCCATAGCATTGTCTGTGACTTCTTCAGTCTCCGGGGGCCCGTTGATAGGAGTCCTTGGACGAGGCAGCTCTCGCATCTCCCATTCTTCCCCTTCCCCAGCCTCCTGCTCCACGTGGAAGGGGATTGGGGCTCGGGGGGTTCGGGACTGAGTCCCAGAGATTCTGCTCAGGCCTATGCCTCGAGGCCGGCTTCGGTGATCCATGTTGACCGTTGGACAAACAGCCTCGAAGCCTCAGTGATCTCTAGGCCCTGAGCTGGGTCTCTAAATTTAGAAACTGGGAGAGGAAGCTTGGGGAGCGTATTTCCTGACACCTCTGCTCTGGACTGAGCTGAGGTGCCCCAGTTGGCAGCAGGGGCTGCCCACCAAGTGGGCCCCAGTGAACCTCCTGCCCACTGGAGAGAGTGGCCAGGTAAGCCAGCTCCCAGGCACTAACTGTACACCCCTCAGTTCCACCGGAACCCCCTGGCAGCTGACATTCTGGGTGACAGTTGCTCTGAATCTTTCTGTCCAATGATAAACCCCGAGTGCCTGCCTGCTGCAGGTAGACATTGTGCTGTCACATGGCAGTCACAAGGAGGCTTGGGTGGAGCCCTACCCCCGAGGCACTCACCATCCAGCTGGAGTCAGCTGCCCATGTTAATAAAATAAAACCATTAGACACAGGGAGGTGGTTCTATATATATAGAAATACCTGGGGAGCTTAAGAACATTAAAGTGTATGGACCAAGCCCCAGAGATGGTGGTTTAAGGGGTGTTTGGGGGGTTGGTGTCCGAAGAGTGTATGGTTTCACAAATGGTGTGTCTGCTGAAGAATCACCGCTGATGGAGGTTAAGAGCACACGTTGTAGACTCGGCTGTTTCTAGGCTGTAGTCTGAGCTCTGCCTCTTATTGTCCTTGTGGCCTTGGGAAATTAATTTAACCTCTCTGGGCCTTCGTTTCATCTGCAGACGGGAGTCATTAATACCTTCCCCATGTTGTGAAACCAAAGTGATACAAGTTTCATGACATAAATGTAAAACCTGACGTGAATGTGGACCAGACTGAGGGACTCACTTCTAACGCACATGACAGGAGGAATGCTTTGTGACTTCTGAGTTAGGGTCATATAAAGGATAGTTTCTGTCTCACACTTAACATTACTCATTCTGAAGAGGACTTACTATTCAAAAGATTTTTTTGAGATACAGTTCATGAAACATATAATTTGTCATTTAAAAATGTATAATAAATTCAGTGACTGTTAGTATAGTCGCAGTGTTGTCCTTTCTGCTTATTGCTAATTCCAGAACCTCTCCCTCAACCCCAAGAAAGAAACCTCATTCCTATTAGCAGTTGATTCCTCCCTTCCTGCTAGCCCCTGGCAATGACTAATCTATTTCCTCTCTGTAGAGATTTGCCTATTCTGGACATTTAATATAAATAGAATCATACAACATGTGTCCTTTTGGGTCTGGCTTCTTTCACTTAAGTGTAATGTTTTCAAGGTTCCTCTCTGTTGTAGCATGTATTAGTACTTCATTTCTTTTTTATTGTAGTAAAATATACACAATACCATTTTAACCATTTTTAAGTGTATAGCTTAGTGGCATTAAGTACATTTACTTTTGTTGTGCACTCATCATCACCATCCTTCTCCAGAATTTTTCATCTTCCTAATCTGAAACTAAGCTATACTACCCCCCCAGTTCCTGGAAACCACCTTTTTATTTTCTGTCTCTGAATGTGGTTGCTCTAGGTACCGCATATAAGTAGACTCATAAAATATTTGTCCTTTTCAATCTGGCTTCTTTCACTTAAACTTAATAGTTTCAAGGTTCCTGCATGTTGTAGCATGTATTGAATAGTATTCCATTGTGTAGATATACCAATTTTATTTGCCCATTCATAAATTGATGGATATTCAATTTGTTTATACTTTTAGACTATTATGAATAATGATGCTATGAACATTCATGTGCAAGTTTTTCTGAGAACATATGCTTTCAATTCTTAGGTATACATCTAAGACTGGAATTGCTGAACTATATGGTAACTCTATACTTAACTTTTTGAGGACCTGCCAAAGTGTTTTCCACAGCAGCTGTACTATTTAACATTCACACCAGCAATGTACGAGGGGTCCAGTTTCTCCACATCCTCTTTGCTTCTTGTCTGTTTTTTTGATCACAGTCATCTTAGTGGATGTGAAGTGGTATCTTCGTGATTTTGATTGGCATTTACCAAATGTTTAATGATGTTGAGCATCTTTTCATGTGTATTGTCTTTGGAGAAATGTCTATTCAGATCGCTTGCCCATTTTATAACTCGGTTTTTCTCTCTATTGTTGAGTTGTAAGGGTTCTTTATATGTTCTGGATACTAAACTCTTTTATCCGATATATGATTTAAAAATATTTTGTCCCATTCTCTGGGTTTTCTTCTTACTTTATTGATAGTGTCCTTTGGTGCAAAAGGTTTTAGTTGTGATGAAGTCTAATTTGTCTATATTTTTGCTTGCTTGTGCTTTCTTGTCATGTTTAAGAAGCCATTGCGTAATCCAAGGTCATAAAGCTATAAACCTGTTTCCTTCTAAGAGTTTTATGGGTACAGCCTTTACATTTAGGTATTTAATCCTTTTTGAGTTAATTTTGTGTATGTTGTGGGGTAGGGGTCAGGACTACTCTTTGAGTACTTACTGTGTGCCAGACACTGTCATTGGGGGGCAGTAATAATACAAGAGACATGTCCTATGATTTTTGAGCTGAAACTCCAAGGACACTCACAGATATTAGTCAATGGTCACATACATGTCTAAACGTAAATTTGGCCACATACTGTTTCTGATTTATAATGCAGGCCCAGAAACTGTGAGCATTGTGGGAAAAGGGTACACCCTCATGTGGTTGACAAAGTTGCATCTGTGATATGGAGGAAATCCCTGTCTGACACTGTCATGGGGACATTTGCAAGTTCCTTGAGAGACCTCAGAGTGTAGGCTCTGTCACATCGAGTGTCTTTCCTTTGAATAGTCACTTAGACTCTTCCTCAGTCCTAGGCCTTTTGTGACCCATTACTGTGTTGGGGTCCTTCTGCTCCCCTCGGTGGCCCACTTGGCTGCTTTTCCTTCTGTGATAGTCTCAGGCCATCATTTTTGTGGGGTCCACATTTGTTCCCTGGAAACACAGATTTTTTTCTGCATTTGTGGGCAGTTCAGTTTACATACAAGTCTGCCATTTTATTGTCCCTTCTGCCAGGGACAGTTCCAGCCCCAGCCTCTAGAGTTTACCTGTCTGAGTCAGAAACTGATTCCTAAGATCCTCAACCTACAGGAGACACGAGCTTTCTGAAACTTTCTGTTACTTGCTTGAGGTAGCCACGTTTATCCCTCTCTCATTCTAGGAGAAGCCATCCACAAAGTCACAAGGACACCCAGGCAGC